ATGGTCCCCAAACAGGAAGTTGGTTGTCTGTTGTCATTATCTGTCATCGCTTAGCTTTAACAAACAAGTTCATGTGTCATTGGGACAGGCTGAGACAGAAAATTTACCCTCGAGTCTTAAATAATCCTGAATATGAAGAAGCAAAAGAAAGAAAGAAAGAAAGAAAGAAAAGAAAACAATTTCTTGTCCCTATGACGGCCCCACGCATCCGCAGTTCCCCAGTCACTGGCTGAGATCATATGATACTGCCCCGCACACCTCACACTCAAATTGTTTATGGAAGCCTATTTTGGAGGGGGAATTTAGGCAACTTGGAGACCCCTGCCCATCTTGTCTTCAGAAGGCCTCTCAGACCCTCCTGGCATTTTGTTAGCTCAACAACGCAACAGTTACAAAGGCAGTGATGCCCAGTGATGGCAGCATCTCTGCCACCTACTAGCTGTGTGATCTTGGGCAATGCATTTAACTCTATGAATTCTCTATTTCGCCTTCTGTACAAACGGTAATACTAGTGCCTACCTTATTACTACTTGTTAAATAAAATATATTTGTTAAAAAGAAAAATTTATTTGTTAAAATAACGAACGGGAAAGGGTCTAGCACAGAACTTGGTACATACTAGAGGTCTGAGAAATATTTTCTTCCTTTCTTTCTCCCCTTCTCTTCTTTGCCGGAGTTATTCTAAGTAGTGCTGGAAATAAAAACGAGAGTATGACCTAGAACCTGCTGTTGAGATGCCTGACCATAGTACAAGGCAGAAATGTAATTGGCCTTCCGATTACAGGAGGAGCAAGCGAGTGGCCCGGCGGAGCACAGAGGAGGGAGAAATTGGTTCTTTGTGGCAATTGCAGAGGCCGTGAAGGAGGAGGTAGTTTTTGAGAAAGGACTTTATGAATAGGTAGGATTTCTCCACTTCTTTTCCCTTCCCTTCTCTTCTTCTCCTCCCTTCTTTTTAACGTTTTGACCCAGCATTACAAATGTCCAGAGGCAGAGAAGGCTTCAAGCAGAGTTTGATTAAGACCGTGGCTCTCTTTCTTTCTGGTCCTCTCAGGCTGGCTCTCCCTCTTGTGTTGGCTTTGTCCTCAGGTGGATGGATACCAGAGAGCAACTCACTGTGTCTCCCATAAACTCAATTCCCAGAAAAAGGCCACACGTGCAAACAAATGTTTGCATACAATTGTAGGGGTTCATGGACTCTCTGGGCCCGTCGACTAGCCCCAGATTTAACACTCAATGAAGAAAACAGCCTGTGTAGATAAAGTGATGCCCATGGTGTTCACTTCTTCCAACTTTTTGAGGTAAACTTAAAAGAGGACTTCTCAGTTGAAATTGGCGTGAGCTCTCCTGAGTCTTTTTTTAAAAAGTGGGGCTTTGGAGTCAAACTTGCCCTGGTGGGGAGAGCAGGATTTTAGCAGCTACTGGTGGGGGAGAAAGCTGGTCCAGGCTGAGGAAATGGCGTGAGCATCGAAGGTGGTGACAGGCAAGCTGAGGGCTGTTTGGAGAGGTGAATAGACAGGTCTGACTGTGGAGGGGGTGCATCAGGGAGAGTCCCGCCGACGGCTGAGAGCCAGACTGTACACGGCTTGAGGCGTAGGGTAGAACTTTCTTCAGTTTCAGCAGTGGGAGCCCTGACCTTTGTTACATAGTGTTTATCACAGTTGTAATTTTACCCTTGCTGTGTGATGATTTGATTACTGTCTGCCTCCCCCGCTAGTCTGTCAGCTGCAGAGAGCACAGGCACTGTGTCTCTTTCTGCTCACCTCTGTACCCCCAACACTAGTAGAGGACCTTCTAGAAAACGGATGCTCAATACATATTTGGGAAACGAATGAGTGGAGGAATGGATGAGCGAACGTTTTCTGAGTGGGGAGAGACACATTTGGACCAACGTTTCTAACAAATGTGAGCTTCGGTGCTTGATTCGATTCTCCTTCATGGTTTCCTTCTTTGCTCATCCATCGTCACCAAGCAGGGGTGGGAACTGGCATCTTGCTGGCCAGGCCCCCCAATGTCTGGGCAGATCAGATCATCTGTGCTCTCCGCTGATGTGTGCAAATCAGCACAGCATCTGCCAAACCATTGTACATGCTATTTGACCAGAGGCAGCTTGAAATAGTGTAAAAATATGCATTTTTAGAACCAGATAAGACTGGTTCAGATTTTAGCTCTATCTCTTATTGGTTATAAGTCTCTGAGGAAATTACTTCACTTTTCTGAATCTCTTTTCCTCATCTATAAAACAGGTACGATAATAAATATCTACTTTGTAGTGTTGCTGAGAGGATTTTGTGAGCTGGTTAGTATAAAGGGCTGGTATATGGTAGGTGCTCTCTATTTTATTGCTTACATTTTATTTTATCTTTTCATTGTGTACTTGAAAATCATAAGGAAGTATTTATTTTACTTTATTTTTTGTGATTTTTAAAAGCAACTTCATGCTCCACGCAGAAAGCTTGGACTATGCAACAAAGTCTAAAAAAACAAATGAATAACTTTCTAAAACCGCAAGTGAGATAACCATTATTAGCATTTTGATATGTTCCGTTCTAGCGTTTTCTCTATTCATGAGAAACTTTATTTATTTTAAGTAGATAATTCCTCCACATGGCTCACAATTCGAGGAGGTACAAAATGGGAAACAGTGAAAAGTAATTCTCCCTCTCTGCGCTGACCCAGCTACCAGTTCCCCTCCCCAGAGGACCGCTGTGACCAGGGTCTTAGGTGGCTTCCCAAAGACAGTCCACATATTTAGAAAATCTATTTGATGTTCATATCATGTTCCTCTCACACAAACGCTGCGCGGCGTACCTGCTGCATCGCCCTGGAGGCCCCCCTCTGAGTGAGTTCCCTTTCAGCCCTCCAGGATGTCTCTGTGGGCAGGGCCACGTAGGGCTCTGGTCACAGGGACTGAGGGCTCAGCGAGGCTTGATCTCGGTTGTATATTTTTACTCTTTGAACTGAAAATCTGCAAACAACTAAACAGGTGTTAGAATTCTCAGTCTTAACCGTTTGCACAGTTGCTCATGCGAGGAGATCTGCAGGCGGTTGGGGCCAGCAGACAGGGTGGTCTGAGGCAGAACTCAGGCTTTCCCCAACATTGCATTGACCCTCAGGCCGATGTGTTCTAAACTGACAATTGGAAAGTGTGGTCTGATGTGGAAAGATAACATTTTGGGATCGACCCCAAAAATCAGGGATGTGTTCCCCCTAGAATGTTCTGGAGTAGGACAAAGCCTAAGTTAATATGGTCCACTCAAGACCAGTCCTGCCCTCATGCCCACCCTTCAGGCCCCACAACCCTGCCACCCCCAGCTCCTATCCCTAGAGCTTCTCCTGTGCGAGCTGCACCCATCCCCGGTCAGGTCTGCCCATCTATACTTTCACCAGACCGGCCCTCCCCACCAGCCCTGCCCCTTCAGCCTCCCTGTTCCCATTCTTCCGCTAACTGATCAACCCAAGAACGCTGATAACTATAGAACACTATAAGGGGCCCAGTGGACAAGGAAGGGGATAGGAGGTCGGACGCCTTCAAAGCTAAGCTCCAGAGAGCAGCGAATAAGAATGAACTGATGCATTTGAAGCACCTCATCTGAACAATGAGTATTAAATAATATAATGGACATGACCGCGCTTTGTAAGCCATCAAGAGCTGTATGCGCGTAAGGGACTCATATTCTTATGAGGATGATGGTAATTTAAAAATAAGACATGGAAGCCAATCAATTTTACAAATTAACTTTTTCATTACAAAAGGATTACTTATTCATTTTAGAGGATTTGGAAAATATATAAATAAACAAAATAAGAAAAATGCTCATCATCTTATTAGAGAGTGTGGTGCCTTATCATATGTATACAGTACATTCCCTGTCCATCCCTATAGGACCTGTTTCTGTGTGAGGATTACTGCTCCCTTGACAACAAATTTTGCCACGTGACTTACTCTGGCCGGTTAAGTATGAGTGGAAATGGCATGTGCCACCTCTGAGCAAAAGATTTAAGAGCCTTTGTGTGGTTCTGCCATCTTTTTTCTCCTTCTGTCACAAGACTGGCATACCTACGTTAAGGGCTTTTCCATCATCCTGGGTTTTGGAATAAAGAGTCCTGTGAAGAACATGTAATGTGAGTGAGAAATAACACTTACTGCTGTAAGCTCCTGAGGTTTGGGGGTTGTTTGTTACTGCAGCATAATTTGTTTTAAGATACTTGATACATAGAGAGGTAACAACTGTAAGTATTTTGGTGTATATCCTTCAGTCTTTTTTCTATGCCTATATTCTATGTATTTTTTCTTTATAAAAATAGGATCATAATAGACATTTGATTTTGTGAAGTGATTTCTCATTTCGTCTGTAAATATTTCAGCATATATCTCTAAAAGATAAGAGTTCTTCTTTAAACATAACCACAACACCATTATCACACTTAAAATTAATAATAATTGCTTCATATCACCAAATATTAGTCATTGTAAAAATTTCTCTGACTTTTTAAATTATTTTAAGTCAGAGATCCAATTAAGGTCTATAGTTTGCGATAGGTTGATGTGTCTCTTAAATCTCCTCCTCCCCTTCTCTCTCTCTCTCTTCCTCCCCTTGTGATGTGTTTGTTGAAGAAACTGAACTGGTTGTTCTGTAGAATTTCCCACAGTCTGGATTTTGCTGATTTCTTCCCACGGCGTCATCTAACATGTTCCTCTTTCTCCTGTTTCCTGTAAATTGCTGATTAAATCTAGAGGCTTGAACAGATTCAGTGAACGAGTTTTTAAAGTCGATACGTTATGAACATTTTCTATGTTATTTAGTATTCTTCTACAATGTGTTTTCCTAATGATTATAAAGCTGTCAAAAACATGACTGTATTTTCATTTATTTAGCTGGTTCCCTATTATTGGTCATTTAGGTTGTTGCTAAATTTCCACTAACGCACACAACTGACTGCTAAACCTCCTTATGGACTAATGATTTCTGGCCTGATTTGCTGCCCTTCTGTTGTCTTAGTTCCTGCGGATGGTCGATGCCTGTGCCAGCTTCCTCACAGAAGCCTTGAACCCAGAAAATTGTGTTGGAATACTGAGGCTGGCGGACACACACTCCTTGGACAGTCTAAAGAAGCAGGTTCAAAGTTACATCATCCAAAACTTTGTGCAGATTCTGAACTCTGAGGAGTTCCTCGAACTTCCTGTGGACACTCTGTACCACATCTTGAAGAGTGATGACCTTTATGTGACGGAGGAGGCGCAGGTGTTTGAGACTGTGATGAGCTGGGTCCGGCACAAACAGTCGGAACGACTCTGCTTACTCCCCTATGTCCTGGAGAACGTGCGCTTGCCGCTTCTGGACCCGTGGTACTTTGTGGAGACGGTGGAAGCAGACCCTCTCATCAGGCAGTGCCCGGAGGTCTTCCCGCTGCTCCAGGAAGCCAGGATGTACCACCTTTCTGGCAATGAGGTGAGCTGACGCTGAGAGGTACTGAAGTTAAAACAAAGTGTAGGGGTTAGTGGGCCTCACAGAGACACAGGTGAGGCTACTCACAATTCCTTAGGGCATTGAGAAGATGCTACCCTGCTTATAGTTTGAGTTGGGCAGTTCCAGAAGCCCTGGGATTTCTCATCTGTAAAATGGGATAATACTACATCGTAGACAGCTACTGAGAGGATTAGGAGAGTTATGGAAATCACCCAGCACCATGCCTGCCACAGCCTTCGTCTCCTCAGTTGTGTAGGGGCGGGAGGGGGGTGGGGGTGATGCACACATGAACGGAACGTGCTCTCTCCAGTCTCCATTCCACATGGCGCTACTTTCCTAATTTGCCCACTATGGGGGAACCTTGAGTCTCTTGGAACTCCTCTGACATTACCTTGGTTCAGATTCTCATTATTTCCTTTCTGAATTTCTGAAAATTCCTCAAAACTCACCTTCCTGCCTGCAGTCTGACCTCTCTCCAATTCATTCACTGGCTGGCTGATCTAAAACTCAAGCCTAATCATTTTGCTCCTGGGCTTAGCCTCTTCACTGGCTCCGCACCACTTTCAGGATGAAGCCCACACTTCCTGCCTAAGCTCTCAGAGCCTGGCCTCAAGACCTTCACCTCCCGACCACTTCTCTAGCATCATCTCCAACCTCTCTCTTCTGCTTTAGTCCCAAGGCATTGATTGTAATTCCCCAAAGCGCATGTGTTTTTTTAGCCTCCAGGCTAATGCAGGTGCTGCTTAAATGCCTTTTTCCTCTTCTTTATCTAGTTAACTTCTGCTCCTGCTTCAAAGCTCAGTTCAACCATCACCTTCTCCAGAGGCCTCTCTGCTTCTCTAGCACCTCGTGCATTGCTGTATCATAGCACCAACCACTGCACGTTAACCATTGAAGTCCTCATCTGTATATCTCTCTACACTGGCAGCTGGTTATGGTAGGAAATATGCATTATTGGACTTTTCATCTCCAGACCTTAAGAGAGTACCTGGTATATAGTAAGTGATCAGCTTGTTAAACGTTTGTTAAACAAGTAAATGGGTACCAAGATGGTGAATACACGTCATTTGGATATACTTGGTTCTCCTTAATAATTCCTAAAGAAATGTTTTATCCAGAACTTTATAAAAACAAGAATAGGCTTAGTGGACAGGAACAGAACAATCATGAAGTCATGATATAGGGACGATTTGTTAAGTTTGGACACATGAACACCCACACATATATGCCACCATATGATAGTTCTGGGATGGGCTACCACGCCTTCTTCATTAGGCCATTGGTAGAAATTTTAGCCAAAAGTGGCTTAGGAACTGTCTGTCTAAGGGCCCTTGGGAACCTCCTCTTTTTTCTGTGTGTCCTTTTCTAGTTCTGTGTTGTCCTCAGATCCACTGTCACTCATTCAGTCTGCAAACACATCCTTAAATGTTTGGTAGAATTTACCAGTGATATTAACAGAACCAGGCGTTTTCTTTGTGAGAAGGTTTTCAACTACAAATTGTATTTCTTTAATAGACATAGGGCTTTAGGTTACCCATTTCTTTTAAAATGAGCTTTGGTAGTTTGTGTCTTTCAAAGAATTTTTCCGTTTCATAGAAGTTGCTGAATTTATTGGCATAAGGTTGTTCACAGTAATCCCTTATGATCCTTTTAATATCTGTAGAATCTGTAGTGATGTCACATCTCTCATTCCAGATATTGGTAATTTGTGTCTCCTCTTTTTATTCCTGATCAGTCTGGTTAGAGGTTTACCAATTTTATTGGTTTTCTCAAAGAACCATCTTCTGGATTCATTTGATTTTCTCTATCGTTTTTCTGTTTTCTATTTCATTTATTTCTACTCTGATCTTGATTGTTTCCTTTCTTCTGCTTACTTTGGGTTTAATTTTCTCTTCTTTTTCTATTTTCTTAAGATGGAAGAAGAGGTAATTGATCTGAGACCTTTCTTTTTTTCTAATATTGTCATTAGTGCTATAAATTTTCCCCTAAGTACTACTTTAACAGTATCACATATATTTTAATATGCTGTGCTTTCATTTTTCACAAATAAATCCTGAACATGAGTTATATGCCAGATATGCCACCAGGCACTGCAAAAACAGTCTCTGCCTTAGTGAGCTTGTCAGAGAAGACAGGACACTAAGCAAATGAAGGGTGATGAGTAGACTGATGGAGGAAACCCAGGCAACCACACGGGAAATATCTTGTGCTGGGTATGTGGGTCACTGGCAGGTGGCTCAGCAGTGGGAATCAAAACCCTCATACACCTGAAGACAGGTGTCAGCCTCTGCAACTGCTCTCTGTTCATAGTTTAAGGTACAGAGTCTTGATCAGCTATACCTCCAACATTCTGGATATTTTTGTTTCTGCTTCCCATTTCCCAAGTCCCTGAAATGTAGGTGATAAAGGCTTTCCTCTGATATAAAATGTCTCTACTAGGACTTCTGCAAAATTGCTGCCATGAACTATCTGCTCTGTCTTTTGTGTTTGTAATGGGGTAGGGTGGGGAGTGGGATTATGGCTTCTGGATTTAGGAGGAGAAAGAATTCTGATCTCTGGAGAAGACTCCAGTGTCAGGAACTTGAGTTTGTGGTCAGGCAGACCCAGGCTTGAACCTGGACTGCACAACTTACCTGCAGTGTGACCTCGGGCGAGCTACTTAGTTGCTCTAGGGCTCAATCCTGACCTGTAACATGGGAATAATGATACCTACCGACTGATAGAATTATTTTGAGAATTAAATGAAGTGACGAATGAGACACGCTTAGCACAATGTCTGGCACATGGTACATGCCCCACAAATGAAGGCTGTTCTTATTCTTACTCAGTTCCTTTATGATGACCTCTCTCCCACAGTCAAGCATTTTCTTTCTCGGAGGTGACAATCTCTCTTTTCACTGTGTCCTAGGTTTTTGCTGCCTTATCGCCCTAAATCCTGCTCAGGGCACTTTCTCATTCCCATTTTACAGTCTGGGTGACTGAACCAGCCAACCACTGTGATCTCTGAATTGGGGTGTCCTTGCCAGTTGATTCCCTGAAACTCCCTGTCTTCTCGCTGCTTGAATGGTCTTGGGTTTCTTCCCGATGACAGTGGTGTGAGCCTGCAGGATACTCTGAACACATTCCCCCTCTTAACCTTCCTTTCTCGAACTTCAATATTTCTTGTCCTATCATTATCTCCCCCTTTTAACCTTGTCCCTCCTCTAAGCTCCTGGAGGTGGTGACAGTAGGAAATTTTAGAACCCTAAAAGCAAATGTCAATTTACATTTGATTTAGGAGTTGTAGCTGGTACCTTCATTAGGAGGGGTCTTTTGGGACAGAGAAATTTGCCCCTTCATTTCATTGCCTCCTAAGTTTCCAGAGGCCAACCTGATCTATACCAAAGGCTGCTCTGACATGTGCAGTGTAGGTGGAGTCTCATTCCTGAGGGCGGTGGGAGCAGAGGCTCACCCCTGAGGACAGCTTTGTTGAAGCAATATGGTCTCTTCTGTTTAGTTCCCTTGTATAGGCTCTGTGGACAACGAGTTGTCAGTAAGGTGCAACTGTTTGCTCTATTTTTAACAAACTGAAAATAAACTGGTTAAGCCTGATCATTGCATGCAATTCATTGGCAAGCCCTTCTGTGCGTCTGCAACAAACTTGCACATTAGATTGGCATTTGTCATGCCTTTGGGGTTACTATCTTGCCAAATGTAGCTGAACTTACAATTTGGTAATAGTGCCACCACTGGGCAGCTCTGTGGTGCTGAGTTACAAGGTAGGTCTCAACATCCGGCCAGTCCCATCAACTAGATGATTGTATTAGTTATCTTTTGCTGCGTAAATTATCTCAAAGCTCAGCATTTAAAACAACAGGCATTTATTACCTCACAGGTGTCAGGAATCTAGGAGTGATTTAGCTGGGTGGTTCTGGCTAAGGTCTCTTCTGAAGTTGCAGTCAAGCTGTTGGCTGGAGCTGCAGTCATCTGCAAGCTCAGACGGGGCTGGAGGATCCGTTTCCAAGCTCACTCACAGGATTGTTGACAGGTGTCAGTTCCTTGCTGGCTGTTGGCTGGTAGCCTCAGTGTCTTGCCACTTGGGCCTCTCCACAGCCACTGGCTTCCCCCAGAGCAAATGACCCAGGAAAGACTGAGAGAGCAATCAAGACGGAAGCTGTAGCACCTCTATAAGCTAATTTCAGAAGTGACGTACCATCACTTCTGCTATATTCTATTGGCATAGAGACCAACGCTGGAACAATAGGGAGGGAACAACATAAGGTGTAAATACTTGGAGGTGGGGATTGCTGGCGGCCATTGTGGAAGCTGGTTTCCAAAATGATCTAGCCGGGAAAAAGTCTGTATTGGATCTTGGATTACCTAGCTTGCCCCTTCATTCATTGATTCATTCATTCAACTAATGTTTATAGAAACCCACAAGCTCCAGGCCCTGTTCTTGGTGCTGAGGATAAGTTGGAGAAAAAGGGCTATTCCTGCCATTGGGGCTTTACAGTGGCATATGAAAAGTGCCGTGATAGGGAAATTCAGGACTGTGGGAACTTGTGTGGAAAATCAAGAATGGCTTCCTGGAGAAAAGGACAAAGTGACATTGCAAATAATGCCAAATGGCTTCAAGGGTAAGTGGATAGGATGCGGTATGGGGAATTGAGGGCACATATTATGGGGCGATACAGACAGCAGCAGGAACACAGGGACTTCAGTCTGTGGGAGCAGAGTCTTCCACAGGCCAGGACTCAGGGACGGGATGCCAGTCCCGGGAGCCAGGAGTAAGATCACGGTGAGTCCAGTCCCGTACTAGCCAGGAGGCTTTGGAGGCAGGAGAACAGGCACTGTGAATAAGATGAGGGCTTCAGAGGGGAGGCTGAGGCCTGGTTCTCAGAACTGGAGTGAGGGTCACAGGGGAGGCTAGTGCTGTCCTCTAAGCATCACCCTGCAATCCCTAAATCCTCACTGAACAAGGACCAGACTGGTGCTGGAGGTTGCGCTTCGGCTGTGGGGAGAGGAGCTTTAGGGGCCGGAACCAGGGCTGGTAGCTGGAGGGAAAATGGCAGAGTGGCAAAGTTTGTCTTTGGTGCTAACTCACTCCTTAGATCCTCTCCTACGAGTCTGGTATTCTCACAGTGCCTCCATGTTCCTGGGACCACCCCTCCCATCCTTATCGCAGATGGCATTTCCACTGCCAATGTCCTCAGGCTCAGCCTGTCGCCCCCCATATCCCCACTCTTTTCTGCTGACCCACAAAGGAGAGCCTTGCCACAGACTTTATGGCAATGATCCAGCCTCGAGAATTGAGGGTGCAAAATTTACTGTACTTGACTCTTTGACACAGAAAAACAAAGTCTCTTATGGGAAAGTAGAGGTTGGATGTTGGCTGCTCTGATTATCTTATTACATGCGACCATTGATTGGACTCACCACTTGAGGGCTCAGTCTTTGCTATTGTACCCTGTTTGTCACCATCTCTGGGCAAGATTGAAGTTCCAAACTCTGTGTTAGGTCAGCCTAACCTTGTAGGAAAAAGTAGCTGCTTTGGCCATCCAGGCAATGGGTGCCACCTCTCTGTCTCCCATCAGCACACCTGCAGAGCCTTCCTCATCAAGCCCAGGGGATGGATGAAACCAGGAGGAGGACAGTGCTGCCTGTTCCCTAATAATGTCAGTATGACATCTCCTCCTGCTCCTTCTGCCATGACCATGCATTGAGGGCCATGCATACTCTCCACATCCCTCTACATCACAACCTCATGAATGCTCACAGTGACCTGATGGCACAGAAATGATTACAGGCATTTACAGAGATTGTGTTGCTTCTCCAAGGTCATGTGGCTGTAGGTGGTGGAACAAGGACCAAACTCTGATGCGTGTGATTCCAAACCTCTGCTCTTTCAGCAGGGTGCAAATATCCAGGGTGTGGATTTCTTTGCTTGTTTAAGGCTGTGAAGGGTCACATGCTTGACGTTGGGATCCAGTGCCCCAACCTCCCTGGCCACCCTGCTCCCTTTTAGTTCTTTTCTACCAAGTCTCTGACTGCTCTTATGTTCCCACTGTCAGGACTTCTCTTCGAGAAGAAGTCTGGTAGTGAGCAAAGTCTGGGATATCATCAAGAAATTGGAACCAGGGGGGAGTGGAAGGTGGCCAGAAATGAAATTCCAGGATTCAAGGCTCAGACCAGGTAAAAAGGAAGAGGCAGGAAGTGCATTTGATGGTAAACAGACATAAACTTCTGAACAAAAGGTCAACAGTAGATAACTATTAAAATCACTATTCTACAGATGGCGAAACTGAGGCTCAATGAGGTGAAATCACATGGTCATACAGTGGCAGAGTTGGGAATTGGGCTCTGCTTGTCTGCTCCATAGCCTGAGCTCTAAATCGCTGTATCATCCTGCTTATGTCCTCCCATTGGTTTTCCAGATCATTTCGGAGCGCACCAAGCCCAGGATGCATGAGTTCCAGTCTGAGGTGTTCATGATCATTGGCGGCTGCACAAAGGATGAACGGTTTGTGGCAGAGGTAACCTGCCTGGACCCCCTGAGGCGCAGCCGCCTGGAGGTGGCCAAGCTCCCGATGACGGAGCATGAGCTGGAGAGTGAGAATAAGAAATGGGTGGAGTTTGCATGCGTGACATTAAAAAATGAGGTCTACATATCAGGTAAGCAGGAGCCATGTGATGCCAAAGCAAGCCCCCAACGGCTCTACGTATTTTCCTGAATGAGAGCCAGGCAGCCATCCTAGAAGAATTACTGTGAATGGCAATGATGTAGCTCTGACTGGGTCAGGGTATGGAACCCAGGAGCTCAGTTGCTCTTATCTTAGACAGCGCATCTTTACTTAACAAACACTACCCTGGGAGCAGTTTTATATTAGGAACTGGGGGAGCAGGCAGACAGGTCCAGTCCTTCATGGAAAAGGAAGGAGGAACGTGACACGAGAGTTTATTCAGTGTCTGCTATAGGCCTAGGACACAGAACTGGGCACTGGAAATACAGTAGTGAATAAAAACTGCTCTTCCCCCAAACCTGACCCCTCCCCTCAAGGTTATTAGGTCATACTTTTAGACGTTCCAGTAGCACCCAGCACTTTTTCATTTCTTATTTCTAAGTTGTTTGCTTAACTATTTACTATTACTTCATGCCTGTCTCCCATTAGTCCTTAAATTCCATGAGAATCAAAACTGCATTCCCAGTACCTATCACTGGGCCTGGTTACATGGTACATGTTCAATAAATATTTACTAAAGGCCATAGTCTCTACCATCTTTACAGTATAGTGGATGAATTTACACTTTGGTAGTATATAATCATTTGCCTCGACTCTATAAGGTAGATGATTTTAATCTGCAGGTTACAAATGGAGAAAACCAAGGCTCAGAAAGGTTACGAAATATACTAGTAAATGTCAGGCAGGACTCCAACTCAGGTTCGCTGACTCCCGTGCTCTCCCATGACATTAAAAGCCACCCAGCTCTTCTTGGGGCCCCAAGGAAGGAGATAAGCATCACTTCCCCCTTCTTGGAGGTTTTCTCTAACCTACATTTGTTTTGCAAAGAGCTGCTTCCTCCAAAATCAAAGGCAGATCAGTTCTCCTTTGGATATGTTAATATCATAGATTAGGTTATTGCTTTCTTTTATCTTGTAGAAATATTTTTAATTGTTGTAGAAGATCCAAACAATAAAGAGAGTGTAAGGTAAAACATGGCAATTTCTCTGTGTCATTACGATCCTATATATTTTTATTTTTTTTTTACAAAAATGATTTTATATTGTCTTAGAGTAGGTAATGCTAGCTGCTGGAACAAACCATGAATCACCACGACAGTATGTGGGGGTTGGGGGAGCAGATCTGCTCCACTCACTCATTCAGGGACGTAGGCTCCTTCTGTGTTGTGATGCTGCCATTTTCCACCTGTGGCCTTCAAGGTTGATGCATTTCAGGAAGAGGGAGAAACTGAATGAGTTGAGGAGGCACACCTACTCCTAACAGCCTCAGCCTGGATATGAGGCACCAGTTCTGTTCACATTCCATTGGCAAGAACTAGCCACATGCTCTGCCTGCACTCCCCCCACCGCTGCCCCGTGCAGGTGGGCTGGGAAATGCAGGAGGAAAAGACAGGCTTGGTAATCACAATCTGCCACATACATTGTACACATTATTCTACAACTCGCCCTCCCATGTCTTCAATTTGAGGTTGTCTTTTTAAAAATGATATAAGTAATACACAAAAGCATGCTTGTTATACACAGTTCAATCAACAGAAACTTGTACTTCAATTAACGGTCCATTCTGGAAGTCATTACATGTCGGTATAATGGATCTATCATATGTGTTAAGTGATCTAATACATGTAAAGCACCGCACAGTCCCAAGCACATGGTGAGAGCTCAATGCTGTTAGCCATCACTATTATTATTGTGATGATCGGTATTGTTATTCTTGTTGCCAGCTGCTGGGCAAGTCTATTGTATGGATGAACCATAATTTTTTTCAGTTTTTATTTTTCTAGTGAAAAAAATATTACAATAAGCATTCTTCAATGCATATATTTATGAACTTGTGCTGCTATATGGAGAGATTCCTAGAAGTGGTCATAAGACGTTTGAATTTAGAACTTTTGTAGATATTGCTTAATTGTCTGCCAGAAAGGTATCAACTTACACTGCAAGCAAGGTTGAGTGACAGTGCCCGTTTTCTACATCCTTGACAACATTTTTTATTATCAGTCAATTACATTTTTAATAGATTTTAATAGACTAGAATGTTTAAATTTACACTCTTGGATCATTAATAAGGTTGAACATATTTTCATATATTTATTAGCTAAATGTATGTATTTAAAAAATGATCAGTTCCTACCCTTTGTTTTCCTATTGGTGCTTTGTCTTTTTCTTACTAGTTTTTTGGAGTTCTTATTATATACGTCCATTGCTATTTGCCATGCAAATATTTTCTCCCAGACTGTGGTTGTCTTTTAACTTTATATTTTATATAGTAACTTTCTCTCCTATATGATTCTGGGTTTATGTCATGCTTAGAAAACCCCTCCCTAGCCCGAGATCATTAATATCTTCTACTATATATTCTCCAATTACTTCTATAGCATTTACATTTGAATTTTATTTTAAACATAATGTGAAATGGGGATCTAATTTAATTTTTCTCTAGACAAATAGCCAATTCTTCTAATATCACATTTAATAATCTCTATATCTTTTAGCCTGTTTCTTTATTCCTAACTGTTTTTAATTGATTGGTTTGTCTAGTCTTATGCTAGTACCACCATGTTTTTGTTATCACAGCTTTTTAGTATATTTTGATATTTGCTAGGGAAAGCCCCCTTATTCATTATTCTTTTTCAAAAATTTCCTAGAAAGTTTTCCAAATTTACTCTTCCAAATGAAATCTAGAATGATCTCTTCAAGTTCCCTGAGAAGTCCTGAAGGCACTGAATATGTAGGTTCACCTGAGGAGGGTTGACATCTTTGCAGTAACACGTCTTTCATCAATGCACATGATATGCCTGCCCGGTCCATCAGGTCTGCTTTCCATCCTGAAGTAAAAACTGCAGTTTTATTTTTCCTTTTTAATAAAGATTACATGCATTTCTTTGAAAGTTTATAATTATTTTATAATTCTTGACAGTACTTAAATGAGGTCAATGTCACAGTGTTTTGAATAAATAGAGACCTCTAAAATGTACACAACCCAAAGAGAAAAATGGTTAAATTATACGAACAAAAATTCATGGAGAAGGAAGAAGCTGAGGCTTCCCGGCCGGCCAGGAGAACCAAACCGTGGCATCATTCCTCTCCATCACGCTGTAAAACAAACCCAACCAACCAAAACCCCTCCTGATGCTGCGGGTGGGGTATGGGAAAGGTCAACAAGGACAGCGTTGGAGGGCTCCTTGGCAGCACCTATAAAAATTTAAGCTGCGCCCCCCCTTGAACGAGGAACCCCATTTCTGGGCTCCCTGCAGAGAAACACTTCCCCGTGGCGCAGAGCATCGTCAGGGAGAGTCACTGCCACACTAGTGCGCATTATGAGGCTGAAAAGGACGTCTTTTGCTTTAGGTAGTTGGTGGTATTCTGTGCTGATGGGGAAAAGGAAACACAAAGCCATCAAAATACTTAATTAAAGTCACCAAAAAAGTCAGCTCTCCTTTGTCTGGGTCTGTCTCCCTAACTGAATTACGTATTTTCCGTTTAGAAGAGAAATGTCTTGAAAAAAATTTACCAGCTCACTCTCAAATGAGCTAATAGAAATTACTTAAAAATAGGACAAACCCCACTTATATTTTTTATATAGATCAAAGATATGAACCAAGAGAATTTTCTAAGATTTCTTGGTGATTTTTCCGGGTGTGTATTTTTGTTTTTGTTTAAATAGATAGCAAACATAGAACGTAAGCTGCTTTCTAATTTGCCTGCTGGTCAAGGCCCGTCTATCCCTGCCTGAAATGGTCCAGCCTCACCTGTACTGCCCCTCCTCTGCACGAACACCGAGTCCAGGCTCCTGCTGGCCCCCACCTGCCCAGGTGGTCTTGAGTGCCACCTCTCTGAAGCCCACCCCTTCTCTGAGCTCTCATGGCACGGAGGTGACACATGACACAGTCTGGCGCACGATTCATCCCAGCCTTACACTGTCGCTCCCTGTCCCCCTGTGTTGGCTCTGTTTCCCCAACCAGACCACACACACCTTCAGGATTTCTTTGTCTGCCCTTAGAGGGGCCAGCCTGGAGATTCAGCACTTAGGGACTTGTAGGAAATTATGGGAGAAGCTGTATTTCTGGCACATCTGGTGGTTACTTAAATGATCTGTATCTCTTCTAGGTGGTAAAGAAACACAGCATGATGTTTGGAAATATAATTCTTCAATCAATAAATGGATTCAGATTGAGTATTTGAACATAGGCCGCTGGAGGCATAAGATGGTGGTGTTGGGCGGCAAGGTCTATGTGGTGGGCGGTTTCGATGGCTTGCAGAGGATCAACAACGTGGAGACCTACGACCCCTTCCACAACTGCTGGTCAGAGGTACAGGGGATTATTTCTATGAGTAACTCTGTTTGTGTTGTTACTTCAAAGCTTCAAAAAAAGGTGTACCCTGATGTAGGTAGATAGCGTTCTCATCTCCCTGCTCCCACTGAGAACATTTTTGGTGGCTCTGTGCTTCCCTCCTCATAGGAGCCATTGCTTCAGCATTGCTGATCAGGTCCCAGAAACAACTTCCTTCTGGGTGGGGAAGCTCTATGGGCGCCTGTTCTATCCTGGCTGGGACCCCAGACGTGGAGGGGAGGCTTGGTCCTAACCTTGGTGCATGTCCTGGCCCAGAGTCTCTGCCATCTGATGCCATCTGCCCTTGTCTTCTCCACACTGGATACACGGGCATCCCTTTATGACACTCTGTTGAACACAGAGTCATTTGGTAGTGTTTAGAAGTCAGCCCATGGGGGCCAGCCCTGTGGCCAAGTGGCTAAGTTTGCACACTCCACTTCAGTGTCCCAGGGTTCACTGGTTCGGATCCTGGGCACAGACCTATACACTGCTCATCAGGCCATGCTGCAGAGGCTTCCCACATAGAAGAAGTGGAAGGACTGACAACTCAGGATATACAACTACATACTGGGGCTTTAGGGAGAAAAAAAAAGGAGGAATATTGGCAACAGATGTTAGCTCAGGGTCAATCTTCCTCACCAAAAAGTACAAAAAGAAAAAAAGATTCCAGTCAACAACATCATGTATAACATTAAAAACATAATAAAAAGAAGAAGTCAGCCCTTATTTGTCTGCCTATTAATGTTGAACCATTTACAAGCCTGCCTGCAAGACATGAGCAATGCAACCTCAGGTATATACCATACTCAGGAAAAGGTAAAGTGTTGCTAATCAACACGCATAATGTTTCCATCACTCATGATGAATAAGCTCTGGAGATCTGCGGTACAACATTGTGCCTGTAAAGAACAATCCTGTATTGTGCACTCGAACATTTGCTAAGAGGGTAGGTCACAGGTGGAGTGTCCAGACCACAATAAAAAAAAAAGGTAAAGTGATCCCACTTCCTGTATTTCCAGCTTATTCACAATTTCAAATTTGCTTTCTCCTTCTCAGATCATATGTCAGAGTAAGTCCCAGCTTTGGGAAGTATAAAACATGGTCATCATAGGCACAAGAAAAGGTAGCCAGGTCATCATGGCATCCAGCTAAGACCAGGCAACCTGAAAAGGGCTATATAGGGAGCCCTTAACACTGATGGGGTTGTGTCCAAGATCTCAATTCATCAAGTCGCATCACAGAGTTGCTCCATGACCCAAGAGGGTCATGTCAATGGGCAAGAGGCTCTTGGAAGTCCCCTGTCGTGCCCTGGGGTTCACAGGGTAGAAGCATGAGTCTAGCTTAATCCCCAAATCTGCATGTTGCCCCAGAGCGGGGGAGTCCGCTTACCTGTGGCCACCTGAAACCCTTCTACCAGCTTTTCTTCCTGGATATCAGCACCAAGGACAATGTAGGCACTCAGTAAATATTTTTTGAATGAATGAACACATGAAAGAATATGAATACGCATGTTTGAGAAAACATTTTCCCCCCACATTGGCTGGTTTCATCTGGACTCTGAGAAACAGGCTGGAAACATCCAACACACGGCCTGCTCCAGCCTGCTGGAGCCTGGAGGGAGGGTGGGAAACGTGCGCTTTGATCCTCTCTGTGTCTCAGGAGGAGTCAAGCCTACAGGCCTTGTGACTTCAGGCAAAGGATGCCCAGGCTTGCGTCCTCTGGCTCCTAGCCTATGTCCTGTGAGCCGCCGAAGCAATGCGGGTAGTGTTACTGACAGCTTCTCCTGGTGTCCTGTGCCTCTGCAGGCCGCGCCCCTCCTTGTCCATGTCAGTTCCTTCGCAGCCACCAGCCATAAGAAGAAGCTCTATGTGATTGGGGGAGGGCCCAATGGGAAACTGGCCACAGACAAGACTCAGTGTTATGACCCTTCAACCAATAAGTGGAATTTAAAGTCACCTATGCCAGTGGAGGCTAAGTGCATCAATGCAGTGAGTTTCCGGAACCACATCTATGTTGTTGGTAAGTGAGCAAATGGCTTCTTGTTTATCCGAGGTCCCCCGCCCATGCAGCCATGCAGGTAGATCAGACAAGGCCCTCCTGGGAGCTCATGAATTCCTGGGTGATGTGGGAGGGGTTAGAAAAGGACGAAAAGATGGAATGGCTTTGGTGAGCTTTCCCTTTGCAGCCCTGGAGGCAGAATTGGCCCACTTTTAGGAGACTATAAAGTAGATGGACACTAGGGCCCAGGGGAGGAGCCAGAAGTTGCTGCAGGAACACAGTTGTGTTGTAAGCCCTAGCAAATGTACAGAAATTGAAATGTGAACAGTATAATGAGTGCCCAATGAATGGCAGCTGTCATTATTTATTTTGTGTTCATGGGAATTTTGCTCTCCCTCCTTGCTTTGGGGGCTCTGAAAAATTGCTTTTAGCCAGAAGGAAAGCCTGGCCAGCTAGACCACAATTGGCATGCAGTTGTTAAGGATGATGGATTTCAATCTTGACTACACGTTAGAATCACCTAGGGAGCTTTTCACAAAAATATGGGTAGCCAGGCCTCACTTCAGAGCAATAAAATCAGAACGGGAAAGAGAATGTTGGCCAACAGTGCAAGGTGTTTTTAATGTTAGCCAGGATTAGGGAAATGCCAAAAACAAAGAACTTTGGCAAATAAGAGCTAAGCAGAGAAGCCTTCAGGGAGGCAAAATACAGGAAGAGATTAAGGAAAACCCACTTCTCTCCCTTGCTTCAGGTGTCATGTGTGTTTTTGGTCAGCCTCATGACTCTGCTTCAAAGGCCTAATTCAAGATGGGTAATTTGGGCTGGTGTCACAGGTCATATTCAGTCTACAAGAGATGCCACCACCTCTAGTCACTGCCATATATCGATGGCTTCTATGTCCCAGGCCTTCTGCCAGGTCCTTTCTGCGCATGGTCCCTCTGGGTCTTATAGCCACCATAGTCTTGGTGCTCATGGTTACAGATCAAAAAGTGGCAGAGCTGGGATGGTGAGCTGAGTCTACCAATGCACCAGGTGGGATTTCTTCCCTCGAGCAGGCTTAGGGTACATTTTGGCAGCCATGTTAAGCCAGGTGTCCCTTAGAACTTGATTGGTACCTGGCTGCAGAATTTAAAGGGTGTTGTGAAGTGTCTCTAGCATTTCCTGCCCCCAGTGATCCACTCTGGCTTTCTGAAGAGCCGTCAATCTCTTGGTAAGATGGTAGACTCGACCTAACCAGAAGTAGGACTTTAGTTGTTAAAGGGGAAGAAAACCAGAAAAATAGATGCCAACGGCGTTTCCCTTCGACTTCAGGCGGGGCCATGAGAGCGCTGTACGCCTACAGCCCTCTGGAGGACACCTGGTGCCTGGTGACCCAGCTCAGCCACGAGAGAGCCAGCTGCGGCATCGCGCCCTGCAACAACCGCCTCTACATCACCGGGGGGCGCGACGAGAAGAACGAGGTCATCGCCACGGTGCTGTGCTGGGACCCCGAGGCCCAGAAGCTGACGGAGGAGTGCGTCCTGCCCCGGGGGGTGTCGCACCACGGCAGTGTCACCATCAGGAAGTCGTACACCCACATCCGGAGGATCGTCCCGGGAGCGGTGTCTGTGTGACTGCGGAGGCGGGAGGACCACGCGGGGAGCCGGACAGCGGGCCGGAGACCCTCCTCCTCACCTCTCCCCCGCGGCCGTCCCGCTGCAGACAGCGGGCTGGGCTTGGGGTTTAGGCCATACACCAGGGGCTTCCCGCGGCTCCCCGTGGGGGTTCCTTGGAAGTCACACGAGACTAGCCAGGAATGTGTGCATGACCTACCTCAGGAGGGAAAAAGAGCAATATTGAACATTCAGGACGCACCTGCCCCACACCGTGTTCAATGCCAGGCACCTTTGTGTTATCAGTTCACTTAACCATCATAGTGACCTGGTGACTGGCTGTTATTACTCTTGTTCTACAGGTGAGGAAACCAAGTTTCAGAGAGACCAAGCGATTTGCCCCAGGTCAGCAAATAGTAAGGCAGGAGTCTAAAACCCACGTCTGTCCATTTCAGAGTCAGTGCCCTTTCTGCCAAGCTGCCTATCTCTGAGCAGGAAAAGAAAACAAACTTAGCTCATTTTCGTTCTGACAAGTTTGCTGAAGGATTCACTCAGCAAGGCAGGGAAATAAAGGTGTTTCTTTTTTTATTTTCTTTTTGTTTTTCCTTCTATTTAAACCACATGGAGTCCTTGGTGTGAAAGCCTTGGGCTCCTTGTCAACAACATCTGGTAGATTCTTCCATCCGACAGGTCTGGGGAGGTGGGGCTGGGAGGGGCTGTTTGCTTTGAAAGAGACAAAAGACTTCTGTCCTCCCCATCAGAAGCCTCTATTTTTTATGCTCACAGGAGGCTCACCCTGGCCTAAAGCTGTCAGTGCCAGACAGAATTGCACCTTCGGCACAGTCCAGTGTCTTGACCTCTTAATGTCCAACGGTTGTATTGCAATGTAGAAAAGAGGTTTGCAGAGACTCAGAATACTGTTTTTTTTAAAAATGTGAACATCCATACCCTGCTGGCTGTGGCAGAGTGATCGACTCTTCTTGACAGGATACGTTCTACTTTTTACACAGTGATTTGGGTCCATGTTCCTGAGACCCCTCCCCCGCCCCCCACCTCCTGGAGCCTTAGTTTTCAAGATCCTTTGAAGACTTTCTGTTTGGTTTTTGGATCAGCTTGGCACAACTTTGACTCAAAGAACAGAGTCTGTCGTTCAGTCCAAGAGATAGAGCTTTCAGATGAGCTCACTGGAAATTCATTCTAATCCCCAAGTTGGGGAAAAAGATTAAGAGATCCTGTTTCATATGCTGTATTTAAAAAGCGACAACAATGGTAACAACATAGTAACCGCATTACCCAATGTGCTTTATTCTCATCGTATGATTTCAGATCTCTCCACAGAGTTTTATTTCATGTCAGATGTGGCGTAGTGTGCTTGTGCTTCTCAGCAGTTTGGGAAGTTAGAGGTATTAGAGTTGATAGTAAATTTAATTTTCATAGAAAAGTTATGGTTAGAAGAAGCTAATGTTCAAAGCAGATAAAAAAAGACTTGGAAAATTACAAGTGAGGTTTCTGTCTATGCTTAGATCATTGAGGATAAATATAAATCATGTTGGTGCATGAAACGCTCTGTGCCTTAGGGTCAGGTGTGGTAGTTCAGCTCCCTGCTATGAAAAGTGAGATGGGAAAATACAAACACATTTGTGGAAATGTAGAACGTATACATCGCTCACTCTTGAGCGCTGATGACCTTAACGAAGCTCTCAACGGGAACAGTTTAATCTAGTTCAATTCAGCAAACATTCAAAGAGTTCTTTTTGTTGGTCATGCCTTGGAGACACGAATGAATAAGACAAATCTTCACCCCGAGGACTCTCAGTAAACAGGTAAATAGGCCACCAGTCAATATTATAACTTTTCTCTTTGTCAAGTTAGCGAAAAAATGAGACCTCTGTGAAGTTATGAGGCTGACCCAAGTCTTTACCGGCCTTCAGAGTGGTCTCCTTGGGATGCTGTGCTCTTATGCCAACAGGGTGGCCATGGCTTACATGCTGGTCTGTCTTTGAGATCACCCCCAGAAACTATGTATGAGCTACAGGAGAAATCAGTCATATTCCAAAGACAGTTTCAGGGAAGACCTTCCAAAGAGGAATCCGAGGACAGCATCACTGGTGTCCACAGACAGCCTCCCCTCAGAAAGAGAGTGCTCCTTGTCCTGGCTGTCCTTCGTAAGAGCAGGCAGCAAATTTCGAGCCCATCAGCAGATCAACCCTACACTGGGGCAGTGAGGAGTTAGGATTTACAATCTCTGTGTTGTAAATCTGGTTCTAAATGCAGGACCTGCATTTCAGGACTAATTCAGAATACCAAAATGAAGACAAGGGAAGGATGTGATGTGATTTTTATACCACCAGAAATGCAGGTGAGTTGTAAAATCTCAGCTACCTGGCCCTCAAGAAATAGGAGTTCTCATTAACAGCATGGGTCAGCGGACAGACACTCCATTAAGAAGATCCAGATTTTCCATACTTGAAGCTGCCAGTCTGTCGCTTTTAGGGAAAAAAAAGTTCAAGACATTTTGGGGGAACTTTACAAGCATATCATCAGGATTTAAGCTTCTAGGCACTAGCCAGGGGTGAAAGCTCTTGAACTGTAATTTCCATTCGCAGATAAATAAAGAAATAAAAATCTACTTTGCAGGAAGTTAACTGTCATAACCCATACCACTAGCAGGGGGAGGAGGCCAAATGACACCAGATGAGCCAGAGACAAAGGGCCCTAGGACTCAGGCAGGGGGTGTGAGACGTCCTGGCATAGCAGGCTGGATTTGAGGCAGGTTGTGTGGGTGGACAGAGCAGCCCTGGCTGGGAGGAAGAGGATGAGGTAGGAGGAGGAAGAGGTCAGGTTCTAAGGACACAGGTCTGGAAAATGATGTCAGGGGTCTTGGACTTGGTGAGCATGACTCCATTCTCAAGAAGGATAGAGGAGAATAAGGAACAGGGATTCTAGGAAAGCGGGTCCAGGAGAGAACCCACTTTGCAGAAGTGAAGCACAGGTTGGAGCAGGACTAGCAGTGAGACCCATTTGCTGAGAGGCCTCTGAGCTGCTTGGCCAGGTCTCCTATCTTACGGGACCTGCGGAGAACGAGGCCCAGAGGCTCTGATGGGACAGAAGCTGTAGGAGGTTCAGGGATCTCCCTTGACAAGGCTGGTCTGAACCGGGCAGGGAGCGAAGCTCACCAAAACTCCAACAGATCAAAGTTCTCCTCTTAGCTTTCATCGCATTCTACTCTCAATGACTTCAGGAAACGCGTACGTGCGCGTGGGAGCACAGACACACACACGCGCGCGCACACACACACACACAGCCCTTGAACCCAAAGCAAACTATGCTCTCAGGAAAATGCAAGTATCATTTGCTTATAGCTGTGAAAGTGCAGCTTTGCTGTTTATAAAAGTCCTTGAGGTACTGTTGTTGTTTACTTAGCCTATTTCATTTTGAAAAAGAAAAAGTACTCAACAGAATTTTCCAAATGGGTAAACATCACTGGAATTTCTTATATAAAGTCCTAACTTGGGGTTGCAAAATCACTTTTTCCCTTAATATCTGACCTGAGTGTTGTATTAGATTTCATAATTTGAAGAGGCGACCTTCATGGAAATTCACAAATATGGATCAGATCTTCATGTTTATAGGTGAAAATAGTCAACGTTTAGTTAACCAAATCCTTTAAGCATTTTGGTTACATGAGGTTGTATTTTTTTGTTTAAGTGATCAAACTAAGGATATTGTTTATAGGTAAAAATACAAATAAAATTTTTATTTATTCAATAAAACATGTGTGGAATGGGTTAGAATATGTTGTACACATCACCAGGTGAAATTTTTTTTTTGCTTGTTTTGGTTGTTATGAGTAAGCGGTTTCTGAATAGAAGTTAATTTAGGAGGTGGAAATTTAAAACATATCAGTTGGTTCAAGAGGGTTTAGATAAAAATTACAGGACAAGATTAATCAGATTTGGTTTATAGAATGGCAAAGAGTAGACAGCTTTTCCCTCCCTAATGCCTCATTACCTCCCTGAGCAAGCTTTTACCAACCCATTTGCCAACTGTGTGACTCATTCTGCCTGGCCTTATGCCTCCAACTGGAGGCTGCCTTCCAGGTTTCAGATGTCTGGCCTGACCTCTCAGCCCTGCGTCAACCAACCAACGTCACCGTGTTGTCTCTGAGGCACTAAGGGATCTGTCCTTCTCAACGTGGGCGCGCGAAACTTGGGATATGAGACAGAGCGCTGGGGTTCTCACTCTGGAAAACTCGTCCTCAGTTCAGTTTGTTTTGGTTTATGATGCAAAGGTCCTGTGCAATTGGAAAGGGAAACTTGAGGCTTTGAAGAAATGGGGGGTTACATGAGTAGCTTTAGCCCATTCCTCTTGAGCCTCCCTAGAGACAGAGGTTCTTGCTCCTCTGCCTTAGGGATTCTGGGTGGGAAATCTTCGGAAGCACAGCCCCCGTCCCACAGCCCTGTGGGGGAGTGCTCTGGAGTTAAGTCTGGGTCATAGAGCTGACAGCCAGTGCTCCAGCTGTGAGTCAAAATGGGGTTTTGACCTTGACTTTACTTCCCTCCTGGATCTAGGTGGTAACCTGATGCCTGGGCAGCTTGGCGGGGGACCTGGCACCTGTCCAGCTTTCCTTGGCTCCTCCCCCTGCTCCTGGTGCTCTCTGCCGGCGTGTGGCATCCCCAGACCAGCCTCGTTTTCACCAGAAAGGCAGCCTTTACGTGGGATCTCAGTTCTGCCCCACCTCCCGTGGGCCCAGGCCTCATTTTCTGTTCCTGCATGCTGTCACAATTCAAGACCCTTGGGGCTGGGGACTAATTCTGGTGAAGCCCCCCACTCCCCCCCCCCGCCCCAAGCTGCCCAGCTTCAGCCTGCCTGCTTATTCATCCTTCACTCTGGTTTTCATGTCCATGTTTGTTTCTAGCACCTGGGGATTTTCCTTTTCTTCTTGCATGCTCAGATGTCTCTTCTGTTATTGATTCCTGCGTGACAGGCTACCTGACATTCATGCCCATCCCATCTCTGATCATCTGCCTGGCTCCCTGACCTGATGCCTCCCCTTGGGTCCACCAAAATAGAAATCTCATTACCCTCTTTTTCTCCACTTCTAGCTACCCCAGCACCACAGTGTGAAACTCCCAGTGGGGACAGAGAGCTGGATCTCGTAGTCCCAACTCTTGTCCCTGTAAGGAGAATCGTGTACTGACTGTTCACTTAATTTCCCAAAGGACATCACAGACCAGGCTGGAACGGTTAGGTAAGACTTGGCAAATAGGAATAAGTACAGGAATAAGGAATAAGGAATAAGCTTAGGGAATAAGCACAGAAAGGAACAATGCTTTGGATAATGAGGATGACAAGATTCAGTGATCCCCAAGAAACAGCGTTTGTCCTTAGGAGGGAGTGTGTGTGTGTGTGTTTACATGCCGTCAAAGATAAACAAAGCCAGACATTAGTTAAAGTGATGAAAACACATTTAATTCAGTAACTACTGAGACTAGGGGAAAGAGCTGAGCCCCATTCTGATTTGTGCAGAGCTGACTGGGTGCTTTATAGGGAGACTGAGGGAGCAGGGGGGGCTCCTGTGAAGTCAGGG